GGTTCAGTCAAATTCAGGTGCTGAACTATGTCGTCTATATTGCTCTGTTCTTCCTGGAGATATTCCAGAAGAAGAAGATTCTGTTGTAAGCCCGACCAGCAGGGTGAGTAGCATGAGCAGCAACCATTCAACACAGTACGGCGCCATTGTTGTTGTGATACTGTGTAGCGCATGCGTGTTTAGAGGCGATGCTAGGACGCATGCGTGTAAAAAAAAAAATGCGGTTAGAGCTTAAAGATGGAAACGCGAAAACGGCGTTTCAAAATCTTCCCACTCTGGCCGAATAAAAAAAAGATTGTTTACAGACCCCCGAAACGCCGGCTTCGTGTGGATGAGAGGCTGGTTTGGTGAAAAAATTGTGCGTTTAGGCCAGGGTTTGACTTCGTGTGGACGGGGCCTTAGACTAAGACAGATTTTGTCATTTTGTTTATATAAGTGTAAAACAAAAAGAAATTTCATTTGGAAACAGCTCTCTGGACAATTTCATCATTTTTAAAAGTGCAGCCTTGAAAAATAGTAAAAATGACTGTAAATTTACAGTTCTAACATTTTTTTTTTTTTTTTGAAGCTCTACGGACGGATACAGAGGAAGAGAAAGGTCTTCTATGCTGATCAAACCTCTCCCTCTACAGCATGTCTTGGTAATCAGACCAAACTCGAGAGCAGGAGGCAAAAACAGGAGACTCATATGAAACATTTCCCCCCCAAACACCAGACGTCATTTCGACTTTGGTTTTTAGGCTAAATCTAGTCGGTCCATCAGTCTTCATTTAGTCCAGGAATATTTGTTGGAAATTGGGATGTGTTTTGTCGAACTGATTTCATCCATTTCACTTTTCAATCAATGTGGAAAGTTTTTGACATAAATCAATTTGTCTTTTTACCGTCTCATCAACCAATCTCTGCTCAGTGGGTTCAGTTGAAACGGCCATATATGTGTCAGATTAAGAATAAGCACATTCATATTTCACGATGAATAAAAAAAATAATCAAATCAGCTAACTCTTTTTATCATGTCTAATAAATCAATCAAACTAAATAAATTTTTTATCAAGTCATACAGGATTTGTAAAGTACCAGAAAAATTTAAAAGAGAGAGAAGTCTTTAGTTATTACTACCTTGGTTCAAATGTATATCTTTGTATTTTTTCAAGATCATTTCCAACAGTTTTATGGTGTCAAACATTGTGGGTGTCCTTCAACAAGCTGTGCATCAGGGGTCTCCATCTCCAGTAGTGGAGGGCTAAAACCATGCAGATTTTATGGTTTACAACAGATTTATTTAAAACAGGGACAATTTGCAGAGAACATTAACATTAACGAGAAAACAGAAAGATGCCCTGAATAAGGTTATAGCTTTTAGCTCTACCTGTAGTCCCAGACCTAGCTGGCACAATCAAACAAGCAGCCTAAAAGTTGTTCAATAGATAGAAAACTTCATTTAAAAAAACTGAGAAAACACCATAACCTTAAAAAAAAATGCAGGAACACACCCAAACCTCCTTTAGAGTTGGTTCATAACAAACATACTCTAAACTAGAGGCTGCAGTAGCTCTGCAGACTTCTATTTGCTGGAATTTAGGCCCATTCCTCCAGGCCCCCGTTTGAGAAAGAATGGCTGAATGCGATTCAGGGGCCGCATCCTCTGAAGGCCAGATTGGTCTGTCGGTCACGTCATAGCACGCCGCCGAGGTCTGTTCAGAACGCAAGACTCCTTGTTATGTGGCCGAAAAATGCATCCTTCTTTTTGCGCTATTTGAAGGACGGGTCTGGTGTAACCTACGTAGCCTTGGATATCCCAGGATTCATTGCGAGTCCAAGCAAGCCAGCTGCTCCGTGATCAGAGGAAAAAGGTACTTGGCAGCGAACAGTGGTGAATATTGGAAGTGTAATTTAATATAAACCAGTCAGTGAATAGTTCCGTCTCAAATGAATGAAAATAGTTGTTTTAATGTTTATTGAGTCAGATATGTGGCGGTAATGTTTAATTTATCTAAAGGTTTTTATCTATTACTGTGTAAGGCAAGGCAAGGCAAGACAAATTTATTTGTATAGCACAATTCAGTACAAATTAATGGGTTTGGCCGAAATTTAAGGACAGATTCTAATATAACTGCTTGGTGGGGACTATAAATCTGATAGGATTTTTATTTTTTAATTGCTATTTTGCACAATTTGCTTAACAAGGTACTTTTTGTTGTTAATTATAAGAGATTTTGCAGATAAATTTTTACACACTCATTGTTTACATTTACTCATATCTTTCTACCCCTTTTATATCATTACATTGGCTTTTATTTTTTCATGCTCCCGGTGTTTGTCACTCTGTATTCTCATGAGTGTAGTCTTTGTTCATTTTACAATAAAAAAAGGTTAAAAAAATTTAAAAGAAACAGTAGTGAAAAGCTCAGTATTCATTCTTTTCCTGCTTTGTGTGTCTCTCACGGTTGCTAAGCGACAGAGCGTACAGCGGTGAAAGCCGCAGAAGGTTGGACCTGTTTGAATTCACAGCCAAAACTCTTTCGGTCTCCTTATTTTCATGGACTTCAAAGGATCCAGTCCAGATAGAGCGGGTCCTTGGAGGATGCAGCCTCTGAAATCAAACACACCCTGACTATCTCTACCCCTCTCTTTTTTACTCAGGGTTTCTGCTTCAGAAACCGATGATTTCAATAACTAAACTCAGCTTCTAAGCAAAGTTCAGTGTGAATGCAGGCATATACAGTAAGAAGCCCTTATCAGTGGGACACAGATAACATGATTCACCATGGCAACGGCTGAAAAGCAGGAAATACTCAGGGTCTCTCCAAACAGCCCTGCTACTAATTTTTTGTCATAATTATTCTCAGGGAAACAGTTCCTAGCTTTCTGAAACTGAACAGCCTGAAAATTGAGGAAATGACCCCAGAATATAATCTGGATTTTGTTTTATGTAGCTGTGCCCTGGTAGAAGGGGTGTAACTGATTCAGGTTTTGTATGCGTCCGTAGGCAGTCCGGCTTAGAGCGTTGTAAAGCTCACTCCAAAGCAATCCCTTTGTTTTCCTTAAACCACTCTGTAACTAAATTGGCAGAAGGTGCAGGTCGTTGGAAGAGCTATTTGAACACAACGTTAAAATTTCTGCTTTAGTTGCAACATTTCAAAACAAACCAGTCCCTTCACTGGCTAAATAAATAAATAACATATGATGCTGCCATCTCCGTACTTCACAGAAAGGAAGGTGTTCTTATGGTTTAAAGTTTTCACCTTATTATACCAAATGTAATGGCCGTCTTTGATCAAAACGCTTTAGGCTACCAAACAGAATATTTTTATACTAATGAAAATCTTTATTTCTAAAACTATTTGCAGGCTATGATCTAGCATTTTCTGTGACCTCTCACCTCTGGGAAAACGAAACAAATCACTGAACAAATCACTATAGTGTGTTTTTTGTTCCATTATTATTGCAAGCAAAACAGATTAAAGACCGCATTTTATGAATGGAGAAAAAATGCAATCTAAAAAAATGTTTTGGGAGAAACTTTGCTATTTTCTTAGATCATATTTTTTTTTTTTCCTTTTTTCTATTTATTTTTTACAGATTTTAGATTAAAACACATGCTTTTTGAACATTTTTGTTTTTCAGATTGAATCAATTGCAATCTTTTGAAATTGTATTGTACAGATAACAGTTATTTTCACCTACTCAGCTGCATGGACGGTGATCGTGATTGAGCACTTATATTGAGCTTAAAGTGAAGAAAATGTGATAGTGACAAAGGCCATTTTACAGAAAAATGCAATTTGTAAGACCCAATATGAAAATGAAAGAAAAATATAATAAAAAAATAAAATCTGAAAAAAAAAAAATGCGCAGTTACTCTATAAACATTTTCATTAAGATGCTTCACATTTTTATCCCTGGACTGAACTTTTTTTTCCATTAAGAAAATAATGGTACAATTTTCACTCCATACTCCTTCCTAATGAGTCAGCTTGTCAGTCCAATCATGGTTTTGCTTGTGAATGTTGGTTTTGAACAGATAAACAGATTCAGGCATCTGAAAATAAATAAAATCCAGAAGGAACCAAACTGTCAAAAGGTTGTAACATCATCATCTCCATAACTGTGTAAAGGTAGAAAAAGTTTTTAAAACCTCTCTCACTATTCTGGCCTTTGCCTCATAGAAATAGTTTTGCTAAAGGCAAGAACCAGAATAGTTTAGTAGAATTTAAAATCCAACAGCTGTGAGTCTTTGAACTGTTTCTTCATGTTCATGATCCTAAACAAAAGTAGCATAATGCAGTTTCCCTCTGCAGTAACGCGTAATACCCCAACAGAAACTGAGCCCAAATGCATAATTTATCTTCCATTTGGCTACAGGCCGTTATGGTGTTCCTCGGCGCGCAACGACTGTTTGAACTTTGTAAATGGAACCAATGAGGAAAATGCTAAACACACAATCGCTAGTGGCAGAAACAGGGAATGAGATATGTATTCATCAGCAGGTAGGATCATAAAGAATTACACATTTTACACGACAGCAAACAAATATCACAACCCACACGGCTCGTGCATTTGTTACCACAGCCATTGCATCAAACACACAGGATAAGAGAGGAACACCTGCACAGTGACTTGATCTAATTGATTGTTTTTACTCCAAAAAGGCTGGTTGCTAATGCGCAGATTAATCGAGGGGAATCTTTGTGCGAGTAATGACGAATAAACCTGCTGTTTGTGGAATGCATTGCACTTTACTCCCAAAAATATTAAGGCCATGTTTTCAAATTTATCATTAGATGATTGGGACGGGCAGCAGCAGGGTAGTTGTATGGAACTGAAACAACCAGCAGATTGGAAAAGCAAGTCACTGTGGAGTGACCTTTCCTTTCCTTATCCCAAAGCAGACAGGGGCAGAGGAGAAAACAGTTTTTTTTTTTATCCCACAGAGTGTTAGAAAATTTACCTCGCATGCCTCGCACTGGAAATGGATTTTTGGAGGGCAACGGTCATACCTCGCATTCCCTGGAGCCTGAGATGGTGTACGTGTAAGGTCCCGTCCCATTAACCAGCATATCCATAGTCTCTGAGTGGGAGGGCTTGTAGTCCACATAGTACTCTTGCAGTGGGGAGTTAAAGGAGCGCTCTGTCTGCCGCGCCTGTTTCTGGCGTTTCTTGACCGCCGAGCGCTGCTGGAGCTGTTTCAGGCTGCTGGGATAGTGCTTCCATGACACATAGATCACCAGCAGAATTATAGCCACGGATAAGAAAAGAGCCACACTGCCGGCGATGATCTTGTGGAAGGACACGTAGTCAGTGTCGGGGACGGGGACGGTGGGGGAGGCTTCGGAGGGAGGCGGCGAGGCCGTCCTATTCCGGGTCAGCTCGTTATCCACCCACAGCTGTGTGGGAAGAGGCAGGAATTCAGGCTGGAAAGGGGAAGTGGGAGGCAAAGTCGTTGAGGGGATTGGGGTCAGAGTTGCTGTACAGATGTTGTAAGTCTCCACCACATCTGTCACTTTCTCTCCTTGGGCCTCCTTAGGGCTAGCACAAATCATAGTAGTCTCCTTGTTGCCCTTGAAGGCTTTGAGCCAGGACATTAGCGGGCATATGTTGGGGTTACAGTGCCACAAGTTCCCAGCCAGACTGATGGTGGTGAGGGAGATCCACGTCTCCGCCGTCTGCTGGGACACGTTGCTGAGCTTGTTGGAGTCCAGATTCAGAGTCTGAAGGTTAGGCAGGCACTGGAAGGTGCTAGCTTCCAGCACTTCCAGCTCGTTTCCTGAGAGGTCCAGCTTTTGCAAGGAAGTCCACATCCAAGGCAGGCCCTGGGTTAGCAGTCTGATACGGTTCCACTGCAGGTAGAGGGCCCTCAGGTTAGTCAGGCGGGGGAAATGGGCAAGGTTTATCTTTGAGAACTGGTTGTGCTCCAAATGGAGCTCGATGAGTTTTAGGAGTCCGGCGAAAGCGTTACGCGTCAGGCTCCGGAGCCGGTTGTAGCCAATATCCAGGAACTCCAGGTTGCGGCAGTCGAGGAAAACCCGCATGGGGATTGTTTTTAAGGAGTTTGACCTTAAATGCAAACTGAGCAGCTTCCGCAGACCCAAGAACTGGTTGGGCTTTAGAACCTGCAGCTTGTTGTAGGAAAGGTCGAGGTTCCGTAAATTCGGGACGTCGTGGAACGTGTTGTTCTTCAGCTGCGTGATCTTGTTGGAGCTGAGAATCAGCTCCTTGAGTCTGCGGATCCCGTGGAAGGCCTGGCCGTCCACGGAGTTGATGTAATTATGGTCGAGGTAGAGCCAAACCAGCTGACTGAGGCCTGCGAACTGGCGGGCCCTGAGGTTCACCAGGCTGTTGTAGCGGAGGGAGAGGCCCTGCGTGCTCACGGACACGTTGTTTGGCACGTCGCGAAAGGCATTCGATTCGCAGTAGATTATTTTCCCATCACATCTGCAGCTGGAGGGGCAGCGGCGCTCCCGGATGCCGCTTGGAGCTGCGAGCAGCCAGGTGGGTATCACCACTGTGAATATAAGCCAACTGAAAAGCACAGAGAGACCTAAAGACAGAAAAACAATGACAGATATAACATCTTGCCTAACATCTTGTGTGACCTCTTTGTTACATTAGAAACTAACTAATAGCTTATAGTTTCTGACATGTTTTTTGACATGTTTTCATACATGGCAGCCATATTGGACACATCCTCAGTCCTTGAATTTTCTTCTGACGGGGAACCCAGAAAATCCATAAATAGAAAGCACCATTAGCATATCTTAGCATATCTCAACGGATGTTTGACTTTGTGTTAAGATTTGGTCATCTTTGATTTGATTTCAGACTTAGACTTAGACAGATTTCAGATTTATTTTATTTTGTTCCAAGACCCGTGATCTCTGGTAAAACGAGATGCCAGCATCACTTGTTCAGTCTTGCTTTTTGTTGTCTGCATGAGTTTAAATCGAATCGAAAGTTTCTGAAATATTCTCCACTTGCACTTCTCTTTTTAGAGACTTATCTGGGCCTGTTTTTCTTTCTTTTTTTTGCAAGAACATTTTATTTTTATTTTTTTTTTTCCATTTTTTAAGCTCAACATTACAGTTAATCAACTCTGTATTAATCTTGTAAATGGCTGAAATCTGAATCTTTTATTGGTCCTACTAAGGGTATAATAAAAGTCCCACCACTTGTATTTGTATGTTTGGGGGCAGTGTGGCTCTGTCCTCAGGATAGCATTGTGACTGGGGGCGGCACAAAAGCAAGATAAGTAAAAAAATATATATTTTTTTTTATTTTTTATTTTTTGTTATTTGAGCCCTAAACATTTCTACTGCTTACTTTTATTTCCAATCAATGGGAGGTGTCCTGCCTTTGATTCATGTTATGCCCGGTAAGAAAATATGGCCGCTGCTCAATAATAACTATTCAGCTGCTTTATTCTGCTTCATTTCCATTACACTTTGGAAAAGCTGTGTTATAGTTTTTATAAACTGAAATTTTAATCCTTTAATTTAAAATCTACAATGCTTAATTTATACCAACCAGAACTGTATTATTCCACCCTTTCTTTAAACATAGTTCTAATAAAACCCTATTTAAACCACAAACATAGCATAAATACTTTCTGTTTTTAAATTATGCCTCTATTAGATTTACTCAAACAATCAGAATCATTAGACACTGATTACAGGTTCCTTAAAACAAGAATTTATCATAAATTTAATGAAATAAAGAAATAAGGAGTGGGTTTGAGTGCATTAGCAAATCTCTCCCATTAACGCAAAAACCACAGCTGCTGAACCTCATAGTGCCTCAAAGGGTGCGTTTAGAAATGTTAAAAGATAACGAAAATATTAATGGATAAGCTTTTCTTTACATGCATTTTAAGAGGAAAATGCTCCTATAGACATTTGCAGCCTGCAGTCATCACTCAGACACCGCAGGATGGAAGGACAGCACCACTGACATCTTTAATCAAACTCCACTTAGAAAGCAGAAGAGTGGCTCATACCCATACTTGCACGACGTCTGCTTTTCCTCATCCTCACTGAAGTCTTCCCGATGCCTTTCAGCTCCACATGTTAGACGCTCTCTGCGTTTGGTCCCAAATAGTTGCACATTCAAGCTCGGAAAAAAGAAAAAAACGCACTTTGCGCAGAAGTCGGAGCCCAGCTGCGGTGATCACCTGTCGGAGAGGACAGCGGCTCCCTCAAGGTGCGCGTCAATCCTCCCCACTTCACCGCACATCCGCTCGGTCCCGCACATTTACCGCCTGCATCCTAACGCAGGATGGGAGAGGAGGCGCTCCAGCTTGGGGAGGCATGATAATGACTGTGTTCAGGGCTGGGGGAGGCTGGGGGGGACGCTCTCCAATCACACAGTCACCAATTGTTGATCCGAAGTTGCAAGAGAGACAGTGAGGAAGAGAAGGAGATGAGCAGTTTGAGGGGAACTGAGCTGCGCTCCGGAGGTGACTAGTTGCGGTATCCTGCGTGAGGCTGTAGGGTGGGGGGGATTAGACGCGTTGGCCCTGACACTGAGAATAAATCAGTTATATAGCAACAGGAATGATGCTCCTGCGTGTGGAATAAGGAAGCTGCTGCTTGTTTTCCAGGACTAGAGATGCCCTCTCCTGGTCACTGGGTGACACTCTGCAGCATGCAGGGAACTGGTCCCCATTGTCCCCATTAACACTGCCTGCATGTTAATGGGAACCAGAGGAATGGGAACACTGTTTGCTTTGCATTTATATCCGATAGGAAGCTTCACTCATTTAATGGCTCAAATCTGATTTTTTTTTTTTTTTTTTTTACTTCTTTATCTTTAAAAGAGGTTCATTAAAAGTCGGTCATTCTACACTGACTAATCTATCTGTACCTTAGGAGAAAAGGCAGAGGCGTGGCCAGAACCCTTTTATAAGGGTGGCCAGGCAATAACCACTGAGGGGTGGCCGAACCTCAGGGTCAATCTACACTGTTCCAACAGGAAAATTAAAATATCCATATTTTTCTAAATAAAGACAAAATATACTTCCCTACAGCCTTTCCAAACAAATAGACGTATATATTTGAACATAGATGTGCTTTCTAGATAAAAGGTATAGTGGATAAAATTTGTTTCAGGTTTGAGTTCTGGGGCGAACATCTTTTCCATTGTCGTCACTTACCTACTTTTATCAATAATCATTCTGCATAAAATTGATATTTACATGTACTAATATATACATAAATTGATTATTTCTAAGTTTTTATTAAAACAGTTATCTATGATTTCACTGAAGACTCCTAGATGACTTGCAGAGACACAAATCTTTTTTTTCTTTACCCCATAAGACAAAATATGTTTAAAGAGAGCATGAGTTCTGTATTTATCATCTTTAATGTTAGTATATTGATGTACATAACCATATTAACCAAAATTGTTAAGTAATTGTTAATGTATGAAGATTTTTAATATTTTGAATATTCCACTTGAGAGTATTACTGCTGCCACCATCGGTTATAGAGGGGGAAAATGGTAGGGGTGGCCATGGGGTGGCCACCCATCTAGCTCCGCCCCTGAAAAAAGGGTATGAAATAATTTTATTCCATTTTGTTCCATTATATTTGTAAAGAAGAAAAAAAATGGAAATTTAGGGGGACAAAAAATGCCATCCAGAAATAAATTTATGTAAAACTTCTTAAATTTATTTACTTATTATTTTTTATTTCTATGATATTTTTTTTTTTTTTGCTTTTAATTTTTCTTTTTTAAAGCGTTTTCTTTACCTGTACCAACAATTAAACAAAATACTCTCAACATTTCTGGCTGCATTTCCCTTACAGATTTGCATAAAGCGATATCGATATACTGCTAATTATGAAAATGCAAAGTTTCACGATTTCGGTATTTCCATTGAATTACAACTACAGTTAAAAATTGCTTTTGAATGTGTTTGTTCTTGTGAGAAACCATGGCAGTGGTGCATGTAAACACATTTCCGCCTAGAGAGACTCACACAGGGAAAAGATGCAAATTAGAGAAGTTTTATTTAGTTAATTTCATTTAAAAAAGTAACACAAAAGGTTTCCTATCTAGGAAAAAACAGATGATTGCAAGGACTGATTGACTGTCTGTAATTCCTCACTCCAAGCATGCTTGTAGCGACCTACGGGGATGAAGGGAGCACAGCTGCCCCCACCCATCCTCACCACCACCAGCACCCGTAACATACCCACCACCCGTAACATACCCGTAACATACCCACCACTGTACCCGTAACATTATAAATCACCCCTCACACCCCCACCATGGACTGTTCTCCCTGCTGCGCTCTGGGAAGAGACATCAAAGCATCCGAAGCAGGTCCAGCTGATTCTGCAGCAGCTTCTTCCCCACCACCATTAGACTGCTGAACTGTTGGGAAAACTCTAAATCATGACTCTGCATCACACTGATAACACCAAACTAAAACACTGCATAATTTCACCATATCTATTTAATCCTCTGAACTTCCATATCAATGCATTTTTTTGCACCATGTTTTTTTCTCCCACACAGTTTAAGTTTGATCACCGCTGCACTTTAAGAAATGGAAAAGTCATGAGAGCTTTACAAAATGAAATTTCATTTCATAAACACTCAGTGTATACAAAATAACAATAGAAGTTGTCTAAGTCTAAAACTCCTTTTTAACAGGTAGAAACCTCCAGCAGAACCAGGCTCAGTGTCAGCGGCCATCTGCAGAGGCCGACTGGGGTTCAAGGAGACAGAAGCAGATGTACAGGTTTTGACATAAATGAAAAAAGTTATTTGGTGCTCAGGCCCCGGCAGAATACTTTGATGCTGAGAATCCACATTTGCTCAGATGAGTAACCTAGAAAAAGATTAGAGTAGTGTTCCACAGGGGTAAGAATAAGCCAGAGGTCTGAGAATTAGATGCCCATTGGCTGAAGCTGAATGAGGGCCATTGCATCTGGTTGAGGGGATGGTGATAAGATTTTTCCAGCTTGAATTCTCCTTTAAGCCTCATGGCATACATCCGTTTTTCAGCCAAGGCTCTAGATGGCGCCATCGTCCTCCATCTACCTCTGTTCGTCTTCTTCGTCTTTTACAAGGCAGCTGCAGATCACGTAGCTTATCTGATGCAAACAAACAACATTTTTTCCATTGAAGTTTTGCAAAATATAAGAACTTTGATATGACAGAAAAACCACCTCATCAAAATGTAAAAACCTTTTATGGAAAAATATGAGTTTTTTCGAAATTGCAGTCTTTCCCTTTAGTGATTTTATTTTTTGCAGTTACAACTCATGTAATTTAATGTTTAAATGAAACATAGCTCTTGTTGCAAATAAAGACATGTTTTTGTAAATTGATTTTTTTAGCAATGTAGCAAGCTACACTTTAGCATTAGCATTTTTCAAAGCAGTTTGGTTCCTGGTGAAACCAAATTTAAATTCCTGCTTTAACACTTAAAATTTAGCAGGCACCAGATCCTATAATGGTTCCTGAATAATAACCTATTTTTTTTTTTGTTTTTTTTTATTAAAAACCCTGACAGACATATCAGCCTCTCTGTTCTCAAATTTACACACAAAAAACAGTGGATAACTTAACTTAAACAACTTCATTTTAAAGCTATTGTTTACGTAAGATTTGTACCAAACGCAAAATCAAATTATGTATAAAAATTTAAATTATTTTTTCATTATTATGAAAAATTGAGTCATTCTGATTCAAAGTTTTATCTATATGATGTGGAACATATTAAAAAAGAATCTAGTGTTTGAATTTAAGGGCAAAATATATATGATAAAATCAACCTTCAGAGGAAGATTGTTTTTAAAAGCATTGGGTGTAACAAGGGAAATATATTTAAACAGAATCCTACGCCCTAATTACTTCTTCTGCCGGTGTAAACAAAGAGGCCTAAAGGAGTAAATGAACGCCTAAACACTTACGGCTGTAATTACTGACAAGGTGAAGCTGTGATGGACACGTCAGGTTATAACGACCAATTATGTGTCATGTAAACATCAAATATGCTTTCATGTAGACATTGTGTGGTTAAATATTCCAAATGTGCAGAAACATTCATATTATCATCCAGATCTATGCAATGGATATTATTTTATTGATTTATCAGATCCATCCAGGGTGGAATATTCCACAATAAGCAGCTTCAGAAAATTAAAAATGACACAAGTGGTGGGCAAGGTTAAATTCATTGTGCGACACATGGTGAAAATAATCTACACAAGCTCAAATTAACCCCCAGTGTTATGAATGACAATCTTTCTTAGAGAACTTTGCAGCAAAACGCACTAAAAATTCACAATGTTTGCATTTAGGTCTCTGTTTCAACAAACCTGGGTCAGATTATCAGGTAAATAAAAATACTTTGTAGATCTTGGCCACATGTTGAAGAGGTAATTAAACCCTTTGAATCTGGTGTGTTCTACTACAAACAAACGGAAACGTTACTAGAAACTCTTGTCCGTTTATGCTCTTCTAAACATATTTCATGTCACTGCAGTCAAATAGATATTCTTCTCTTTTGGAATGGATTAATTAATTAAATATTAAGTTGATGAGAAGACTTAAAGCAGCAAGACTTTTAGATGAAACCTGTGTTTGTATTCATAGTTGCACTGATTTCCTTAATATTGTGTGATCTGTGATTAGCTGATGTTTACCTGCAAAACTGATTTTATCTGTCTGGAAATCAGACAGCAATGCTTGAAAGGTCATAGGAACATCTATTTCATCATAACAAATTAAAAAGAATAATACATCCACCGTCTAAAGTGGCACAGAATAAGAGTAGTTATTTTATTACAAATAAATGGTATGCCTGTATATGAAGAAAACACACAGTCTTCCTTCCTTTTTTCCTCCAAGCTCAGGTTCTCTACCAGAGACCTGGGAGCTTGAGGGTTCTGCGCACTATCTGTGCTGTTCCTAGAACTGCACTTTTCTGGACCGAGATGTCTAATGTATTAGTGTTAATTTTAGCAGCCATTTTTAAATTTAGTTTCAGTTTTAGTCCAGTTTCAGCATCGCTTGTTAGTTTTTATTACATTTAGTCAACATCATCCCATTTTTATTTAGTCTAGTTTTATTCGACTATAAGTCGAGCATTTTAGTCTTTATTTTATTCCAAAAAAATTTATTTTATTCGTTTAGTTTTAGTCAACAAAAACTGTCAACATTTTAGTCTAGTTTTAGTCAGGACTTCATTTTAACCTTTTACTTTTTTGTCAGTAGATAATATTTAACATTTCCTAAAATTATTTCACATTTCTACATTTTCTCTCATCTTTTTGATTAAAAAAAAAAATTTTAAGGAACACATGCAGACATGGAAGAAGTTCTGACAATATTTGCATATTTATTTTGAACATTGTTAAGGTTCAAAATCACAAACACAAACAAAACAAATAAAATACACCTGATAAAGGAAACAAATAAATAAAATTAAGTGTCTTATGAACTTAACACAAGTGCTGTCTGTTTA